TTATTTTTTGATTGAAATAGTATTTCCTATAATAAAAAGTTTGTCAAGAAACTTCGGTTTGTTTTTAGTTTTGTTACCAATTTTATTTCTATCAATTTTTTAATTGGAGAAACTGTTTATAGATATTTATTATTTTCTTTTAAAATATTTTTGGCATAGTTTTACTTCAAATTTTATTTATGACACATTTTTAGTTTTAAATATATTATTTGCATATTTTTACTTCCACGGTTGATATTTTACTCTTTCCAAATACTTTGAATTTTATTTACTTTATACATATTTATGTTACCAAATATAAGTTTAACTTACCCGATCCAATATGCCTACATTCAGGTAAAAGCATATGAGAAAAGCATTCCAACCAATCCAAACGAAGCTCCATATTAAATACTGGAAAATACAGAAAATTTAACAATTCATAAATATATTTATTAGTATATATATAAACACATTTAAATATATAATATTCATAAACACACACATTATATACGCCCCTAAATAAATAATAATTTCCATAAAATATTTAAAATTTTTTTTTTTTTTCTTTGTTTTTTTTTTTTGTGGATTGACACTGATTTCGGTAAACCCCATTTAAAGTGTGTCAACTCAACCAAAAAAAACTTGTACCGAAAATAACAAAAAATATTAAACACCAAAAATAAATCGTCAAGAGTAAAATGTGTGTGCGACTTCTTATCTCTAAGCACCTAATAAACTTTAGCAATGCAATAACAAGCTGATTTGCTATCGGCGACGCCACGGCGTATGCGCAAACCCCCTGAACGCAGCGGCAATCAGAAGCGATAAGCTTTAATATTTTTGAGTTTTCTTAGTAGCATATGTTTTGTATGTCGAATTCGTCAGTGCAAGCATTTTTTGACAATTTTTATTAGTGCTGCGAGGCATTATTACATACAAATGTATTTATAAATGCGAGCGAGCACGTAGAATTGATTAGATAAGATTAAATAAATTTAGTACAAACTGGGGGGAACTTGTTGAATATAAGTTTACTGAAATTTAGAGTTGGGTATCGCAAAAGCGCAGGCATTGGTTGCAACTTTTATGCGCGTGGCGCTGGTGGTAACTATGGGCAAATGTTGCATGAGTACTTAGTATGTAAATAATGTTCATAAACAGATTTGTTCTAGAGTATGTGTATTTTTGCATTATTTATATATAAATTTTAGGTGACGATATGTAAATAATCAAATAATTTCATAAATTTCTAACAGCTGCTTTAATTTTCGAAACTACATATGTCTTTCCAGTATTGATATCCTATACATATGTAGATATAATGATAGTAATATGCTTACAAATTGATATAATTAGAATGGAACTGTATAATATCATTTTTTTCCACAATTTAGTTCGTCAAAAGAGCGCAATTGCACCAAAGCGTAAGCTTTAAGAAAAATATATAACAAAAAAAAATAATCATCAAGACAAAAAATATTGTATTCCCTAACTGTTTAAAGTGTTTAAAATAGTTTTTTAAAAACCTGTTCTCTTTGCCTTTCCTTAATAATATCTTGGATAAAATATTCTCAAATTTTGAAGCTAGTCCGACAAGTACTATTCGAGTTATTCGACAAATAGTGAAGGATTTTGAGGGCAGTGGAACTTACGTGATAAACTTCAAATGCACTATGTTTTTTGAAATGGTAACTACTGCTGCTCAAAAAACGTATACTAGTTTTCAATGAAATTTGTACAGCCTTTTGAAAACTTGGAAAATTGGAGCCTGATCGAAGCATTGTGGCCAAAAATTGATCGTATTGAGGCGTTTGTGTGAGAATATCCATCGAAAACGGGCGGAATCGGGGAAGAACAATTCATGGGTTTTTGACAAGTGTAACGTTTCTTGCTCCCCAAACTGAATTTACCGCTCCATGGAACGCGTTTTCAGTCGACCAAAGAGAAAAAATTCGCTGAAGGAGCTGAAGGCCATCGCAAAAAGTGCTTATGGGATCAGTAGAGCAATTTTTTTTTATTTTATTTTTTCTTTAATGTTCACAAAACGCCTGGCTGTCGTCCCTACTAGATTCATAATATTTTATAATTTATTGGCAATGTTACAACATTTATGTAGAAAAAACATGGGGAAAAATACAAAAAAGTTAATTACTTTTTTATTTATCAACATTTTTTCATGACTCTAGTAGGGAAGATAACCATTCACGTACTTTTTAAGAATAAATTGGGTTTGTTTTTGTGTTCCAGATGATCCAATCCATTTCTCCGACAGATGTCATCAAAAAATTCCGAAAAAATATGTTTATACACTCCACTTATACCTTTTTTTTTTTAATAATATGTAATATTTTATGATATGTAAAAAAAGTTCTATTGTGGAATAAAAATTTCTATGAAAAAAAAATGTCAAAAAACAGACCAGATTACCCTACTAACCCGTTATGAAAAGTATTTCGAAGACTGGAAAAATCGTTGGCATAAGTTCTTTACATCTGGTGGGGATTACTTTGAAGGCGGCAAAATAAAAATTGAAAAATTTCCTGGTACTTTTGTCATAATGTATATGTAGATATATATAACATACCGCTTTCAGGGTATAAAACGACTAAGACAAGTCAACAGCTTATTTCTGTATATTTATATATGTACGTATGGCATAAACATATCTTTCTTTCATTTAGCTCGCTCAAACTTAGATAAAAAGCACGCTTATCAAACGAGGCGAATGAGCGCATTTGCATATGTAAATAAGAAAAATGCATTTACAAAATCAAAAGCCTTGGCCACGCCATACCGCAAAAGCAAAACTTATCGCTGCTGCGGGTTCAAAGCGAGTTCGTATAAACTTTCTTCACAGCTTTCTGTTATTTATGCAGCGATTATTTGTTGTGGGCGCTTTCTAGCTGTTTATTTCATATCTACATTCTGGCACACAAATATACAAACATATGTATTTGAAGCGGTGTGTTTATAGTGACATTTTATTTACTTATACATATACATATGTGCATGTATATTAAGATATAAACATTGATAAGCACGTGCTATAGACTGCTTTGTTCATTTATTATATAGTTATATTACACACTTTTTATTTAATTTTTTATTTTTTGATATTTTTTTTTATTATTTGCACACTTACAAATTCACGTATGAGGATATCATAATATATATGTATATATTTTTTTTTATCCAGAGTTCATATAAATATGTGTGAAAATATTCGCTTTTTTAACGCCGTTTATAAACATACAGATATGAGTTTGTAGATACTTATACTCGTATATATATTTGTATCAGAGATAACCATAATGTGGGGAATTGTTCTTTACTGCCAACTGCTTATCACCATTTGATGACGGAAGTTTCTATTTTATCTCTGCTATCTTTACGCCGGTTGTCTGTGTTTACATTAATATTTATATGAGAAAAAAAAATTTGATAATTCTCTTGATAAGAATATAAATATTACAAATAATGAATATGAAATGTATTATTTAAACTTTTTTTTTTTTTGTTTTGACGAGTCAAAAAAATTAGGTAGCATCGAAAATTGAATACCCTAGGCAAAGTATATGAACAGTGTTTATGGTCCTGATACTGTAGGCGTCAACTAAGCGCAATTTCGGGTTCGTTGACTCTGTTCCGGCAAATTTGGTATGGAAGACCCAACACGCTCTAAAAACTGAATTGTCCACATTATCGATAAAATAATGAAGTTTGTCGAATCGACATTGCGCTGGTGCTAGGCATAACATTAAAAACGGTTTCGTGTTATTGAAATAAGGTTGGACATAATAATAATTTCGGTGTATGGATGCCACAAGAGTTAACGCATAAACCCTCATGGATCCAATTTTCCTCTCCGAATCGCTGCTGAAACGCAAAAAAATTATTCATTTTTGAAGCGGCGATTAAAAGTGGGTTAATTACGTCAAACTCAAGTGAAAATTGTTGTGCTCGAATAGCGATGAGCCCCCGCTGACGTCGACATAGTCAGAATTAACTCTCAAAAAGGTTTTGCACTAAGTTTGGTGAGATTGACAGGGGATCATCTACTATGAGGTACACGTTTAAACATTTTTGGATCTATACTGTCACTAATTGCACCGTCTGATGGAAGCAGTCGCCCATAAGTGGCCAACTTTGACCGGTTGGAGGGTAGAAAAGGTTTTGTTTTTAAAATTAACAACCTATCGAACACTAATTTTTATATCTCTACGACTGCCAGCACCGAAACAATTAAAGCACAAGTTATTAGTAGTAAGTCATATGCATCATTTATGACTTCTATAAATAGAGTTCAATTTTCTTGTCCCAAATGTTGATTTGAATACAAAAAGTCAAAGCAATGAAATTGAGTGCAAACCAAAAAAAAACTTTTGTGTAGACTACTAACAAAAAAATAAAAATGTTTACAGTGCTAGGCATTTTTATTTTTAATTTTTCTGTATCTTCGTATTTTTGGTTATTGGAAATCAAAGCAGCTGTCGGCTATTAAGCGGAAACATGCGCCGCACTAACCAAAGTACTACCCAGAACCAGTAGCGGTATAGTCAAGTGTTCGGTGATGGGTTAGGACAATTGTACCAAATGCGTGAGTAGGGCTTATAATACACCTACTGCCTAAATGTGGCAGCAACAACCAAAGAACCAAAAAAAAAGTAGAATGTGACGTCAATAATAAATGAGTTGCATTTGTGTTACGAAATTCGGCTATTTTGGGCTAAGTCGATAGGTATGTATTGTTGTATATGACTATCATAATTATATACAAATAATGCATAAACTTCTGTACAAATAATAGGTTGTCAAAAAAGTCTTGCGGTTTATTGAATTTTCAATTCACGAACGACTTAAAAGAAACGACAACCAATCGAACACGTGTTAGCGCGTGAAATGAGCTTTCCAAAAAGGTATAGCATGACCCAATGCGACGAATAAAACTAGAACTACGCGCTGTCAGCGCCAACTAGCGAAAATACCGCAAGACTTTTTCGACAAACTAATATATGTAAGATATATATATATCGGTTTACAAAAGAGTAAGGAAATTACTGTTATTAAGCACAAAGTTAATCGATTATTGGTGGCATGTAACGTAAATAGACCTGCATTATTTAAGGTTATGTAAATACTTAAATGAAAATCGCTAATATAAAGGGTTAAGCAAACAAACTGAGAAAGAATTATTATTTTCGTATTTAATATATAAAATTAACCCAAACTAAATTTGATTTTTGTGCATTTCAAATTTACAAAGTCATTATGTATATGAAAATGTTTGAGAAATAATGTATAATTATTGTAAAATTTTTGCTAATTTTCCAAGGTCAATTGGAAAACATATATTTTAAGAATAACAGCTGATGATCAAAAACCCAAAAATGATCTGAAAAAATTAGGATAAAAGTAACAAATATTCCTACAAAAAAAACTTTTTGGCGTCGAAACAACGCTTCACTATGGAACTCTAAATGCTAAAATTTATCACAAAGGTGGTAGGTCGACTTAAAAAAAAAAAGATTTTTTTTGCATATTTCCAATATAGACAGAAACCAGAAATACAGCCTATGAAAAATTTGATCGAAAGAAGACTTGCTTACGAGTTATCGAGGTCGTAAGTCACCCTGCGCTGACTATTCACGCTTTATAATTTATCTTCAAACACATTTTTAACACCCCTTACGAGAATATTTTTACAGCACAAAAAGGTATAACAAGAACTTTGTCATAATTTTGATCGATTAGTTTTTATGGCAGCTACATGTTAAAACCAAAATGGTTTAAGGGTTCAAAGCTAGTACCGCTGCCGCAAATGGGAAGCATTCGCCTATAACCGGCGAAGACAGGGAAATATCTAGGGCTCATCCTGAATAAAAACGCTTTCATGGAAGCCGAATATCAAAGAGAGAGCAAAAAAAGGCATCGATTGCTTTGTACTGCTATAGTGGAGCTATCGGCAAGAAGTTGGGTCTCTCACCGAAAGTGGTCCTCTGGCTCTGTGACACCATACTCAAGCCCATTTTGTTCTATGGAGTCTTGATGTGGTAGAGGGATCTAGAAAATACCACACTTGCAAAGAAACTCGAAAAATTTCAACAGGCGCCGCTCATCAGCATGTGTGGTACACTAAGGTCGACTCCATCTATGGCACTTAACGCCATCTCGCACATATTGCCTGTAGTCGTCGTCGGAAAGTGTATGGCTGCTAAAGTTGCTATTAGACTGAGAGAATCTGGGTTCCTAAAAGAACACATGTCTTAACACTCGAAAATCCTTGCACACTTGGACTTTATACCGTATTACTTAGAGTCGCCAAACTGAACTCTAGCGGCTTCTTTTTTGTCCATATACCGGGAAAAAGCTGTTGTCAGAACCGAAGTTGCAGCTATTAAAGTAGCAGCAGCAGTTCAGGGAAGTGACCATTCATTCAGATAGTAGAGCGGCGATACTAAGCGTGAACTCATTTTCAGGGTTGGTCGAGGAGTGCCTAAACTCGATATCAATAGCATCAAGTGCTATAAAGGTATGGGTGCCGAACCATCACGGAATCGCAATAAATTGTAAAGCTGATGAACTAGCAAGGAAGGGCACCCTAGAACCTCTATCGGTAGAATGGGAACCGGTCGGTGCTCTCGTATACTCTTGTGTTCTACCACTAGATAGCTGGACTTCGCGGCCTATACTCTGGGCCACCAGCGGTACAAGCGGTGTCGCAAAATTCTTTTGGCTCAAAGTCGATCGCAAGAGATCTATCTTTACGATAGTCTCTCATAGTTTTGGGAGTTTTAACAGGCCACTGCCCAATTCGCCTCCAAGCTGTAAAAATTGGGATCTTATCTGAGGCCATCTACAGAAGCTGTATGAAAAAATATGAGGTGGAAACAACTCAACACTTCATTCTTGTCTGTAACTTTTTAAAAGATCAGGGCTTAAGCTTGGGAGCGCATACCTTCAGACGTCTTACCGAACTTGCAGAAATGGAAATTAAAGCCTGCAAATTTCTACTAGAACTAAGCTGTTTGCTAATTTATAAGTCCGAACACAGGAGTTCTTCTTTTCTATGGCTTTATAAAAGACTACCAGTCCATGTGCGATTGTCGATCAGCCATCTAACTAACCTAACCTACATGTTTTGTGGCCCCATCAGAATAATATCTTCGAGGTCTATAGCGCTGTCTTGGACAATTATTCGTGTCACATTTGATGAAGGCATATGTTCACATTTATCCACAAAAAGTTTTCTATACAAGGACTTGAGTTTGGTCGAACAATTAGGATGGCTGTTATATCCTACAGTAGTGTGATATGGACGGTTCAACAAATTAGCAGTGTTTCGAGGAGATGAGAATGACAGATCGATGTCTCAAAAAGTGGAGGAATAGCTCTCGTATAGGTAAATGGTACAGACGAACATGGCTACATCGATTCACCTTGTATTTTTATCAATAGTTTTTCGGTTCAACGCATTTTTGCAATCCATTGTCAAAAGAGCTTGAAATTTGAGAGCGAAGATTGACAATGCCCTTAATATCATGTTTTATTAATATGAGAAGTGTGGTTTTGGAGCTCTAACATAAAAACTTGGAGTAATTTATATGAAAAGTTAACAAATATCGAACAATTATTATTTTTTTATAAAGACTTTATTTGAATAATGATCCAAATGAGCCGCGACATCACAGGCCATAGGCAGCAAAATAAAGTTTACCCCTCTGGAATTTTAGAGGTTATCTTCCAAAACTTCATAATTTTCCTAAATTATACAAATTTAGCCTTTATGATGTAGCAAGAGAGGTACAAACGAACACTATTTTAAAATGTTTTATAATAAGAAAAAATGCCAATTAAAAAAAATAAGTATTCGATTTTTTTTTTTTTTTTTTTAATAATTTTTATAAAATTTATGTCGTTTTTTTTCCTATAAGTATCAGGTCCCACACACCTACACTAACTAACATTTTTTAATTTTATTTAATCGAGCGCATAACAAACTAAGCCCGTTATCAAAAACTAAAAATTTTAAATTTTCACTGAAAACTGAAAAATTTCTACTTACCGTTATTATATATTTTATTCTAAAGTGATATGCTCCATAAAATCCCAATATAATGAAAATTATGTGAAAGAAATTGACCAAAATGGGCGCCCACATATATCCGAGAAAGTCGAATACTTGGCGTTCGATAATTGTTATCTGCAAAAGAACAAGAAAAACGAGAAAATATTTAGTAAAATGTTATACAAATCAAGATAATTATATAATATTTAAATATATGTGCATATGTGCATTTGTATGCCTGTGTGCTTGTGCGAGGCATCAATAATTCCAATTAAAATATCAATCAAATATGCATTGAGCTGAATTGTAGCCGCAGTGCAACCGAGTGCAAAGGAAACTATGTGCTTCTGCTTGCGTCTACGAGCTATCACGCACACTTGAATGCATTTTCATGCACTATATGGTCAACGTTGACCTACTACCCTCAATTGCAATACTGTGCCGCTTTACGCTTAGCGCAAAGTCATTAACATTACGCTAAATGCAAGCATGAAGTCATATAATTATGTACTTAAATATGCATGTAGACAGCTATATACTTATGTAATATATATGTATAAACAAAAGTGCATATGTAATTGTTACCATATGTTTTGAATTGTTCGCTTCGGTTTGGCTGATTGGTTCGCTATTTATTATTGTCAATTTTATTAGCACAAAACTATTAGCGACTTCTGTAATGACGTCACGCAGCTGAAACAATGAAGCACACGTTTGACAGAGGAAGAAATAATGATTTATTTATAAATTGTGATTGCAGAGCATATCTAGTCAACGCTTGGGTGGTAAGGTTCGGCTTGGTTGTCATAGTAACAATAGGTCCAGGGCATGCAAAGTCACGCGCGGCCCCGTATTTTGTAACATCTGAAGCGTTTTTGTCAGCGGTTATCTACGTTTACGATCGGCCGACCAATAACGAGCCTTTATTTCTTCATCATCAATTGCCGACTGGCCTCTTGAGGATTTTCTTGCGGCTCTGAATTTTCGCAGTGTGTACATCGTACGAGGAGTGAAGGAATCTTTCCCATGTAAGTCGGGTCTACGTAACCGGAACGGACCCGTAATTTTTATCCGCATAAGAACTGTCAACTCGGCTGATTGCTAAAACAGCAACAGGAGTGAAAAAGAATAATATGTCGAATGTAACTCTGAAAATCTTTGGATTGTTGACAGTCGGAATTTTAACGCCACCGACTTAGGTTTCTTAATGATCTAGTCTATATATGTAGATTTAGTGGGAGAAAGTGTCAAGCTGCTTGCAGAGCAGAAACGAGAAATTAAATTTACTACAAAATCTATGAAATCAGTTTTCAATTTTATCAGCTAGCTAGAAGTGAGTTATGAATTTTTTAATTGAAAATAGGAAAACGGTATAAAACTCTGAAGTGAAGAGGCTTAACGTTGCATTTAAGAGGTTATGCTTTGAGAAATTTTCTTAGAGATGTCTGAGAATCTATTTTTCCGAATATCAAGCGAAAAAAATATTCGTAAAACTACGTAACATCAAAAAAATCGAAATTGAGTTTTTCATTGCTTACGATATACTACATCATATATAATACATTTTTAACGCCACGCTGTCAGATATAACCACAATATAACCAATAAATAACCAGTATGCAACCAATATATAACCAGTATGTAACCAATATATAACCATTTTATAACCAAAACTCAAATTTTGTTTCAAAATGAGTTATCGTTTTTCCTTCGCCTATAAACTTACGAATATTGATATTACGTTCTTTTGCACTTTAGTTGACGATATACTGTGAGCTATTGGTGAGATGTGATATTTCATGTTTCTAAAATAATCTTCTATCAAGAATCGAGCTTCATGGCATTACGTACAACAATTATTTGACATTTTCGTACAGTTTTCATTACTTCGTATTGCTGCCATTGTACAAGTACCTCAAGTAGGCATCTGGTCATTCACACCTGGGCCCTCGCCTTGCAGTCAAACGCATAAATTTGCACATTGCATAATTTTCACACACACACACACACCAAAACATTTCGCACTGAAGCGATAATTGATGCCAGTTTGCGTTAGAATCGACAGATGTGTGCTATTGCGCAATTGCAATTTCGAACAAGACCAACAAAGCAGGCAGAAATGCTATAAATGCAGAACTGCAGAAGAGTTCTAAACTTAATATAAATGCATAACAAAGTTTATATTTATATATTTAATAATTCCATAAAAATACTTCCTGCATCCATTTCAATCTAAAATCTAATTTATTTTTAATAGAAAGTTATTTTTAATTTTTCCAAAAAATAAGAAAATATTTTCTGAATAATTTTCATTTTTAGTTTTTAACAACCGAAGTCGTTTTTATTGCGAAATTATTTCTATTTTCAATATACTATTTTTTTACCACTTTATCAGCGTACTGACACTCTAAGTTGAGTGTCATTTTCTGACATGTGTGTTGTAATTGAAACTAATTGACTCGAAGTGGCTGTTGTGATTACCCTACTCGGATAAGCAAAAGTAACTACAACTTAGTGAGTATATATGTATGTAAATACTCCTTTACATCTATATGTAAATATATCTATGGTTAAATGTTAGCAGTTCTGACATGCATAACTCATACTTGAAGCCAACAAATACACAACGAGGCAAGTGCAGTCGAATAGTTTCACACATACTTCAACAAATGTATGCAAATAATATATATATAAGTATATATGTAACAACATTTGACTGCAGTAAAAGAAATAACTAGCAGAATTTTGCTCAAACTAATTTATATAATTACATGACTTACAAAAACCACTTATTTATGTTAACTAAGTTAGATTGGAAAATATAATTAAATTAACACTTTATTTATTAAATAACTAAACACTGAAATATACATAGTATAGAACTTATACATACATATATATACGCATATTGTTAGCTTTTTTCATTAAACAATGCAATAGTCTACATAATTATATTCATCCACACATATAAAATATGTAGTAGAACATATAGAAGAAAAGCTCAAAAAGTAAGCTTAAAACCGCTAGATGGCGCTGTCACCATGCTTTTAAGAAAAGCAGTATTAACAAGGATAATGTCCTACCATGTGTGGTATCAGAGTACGAAAATCAAATTTAGGACCCAATAACGAAATGCGGGAGAGCTTGACAAGCTGACAGACAGGGCTAATGCTCGAAAGTTCTACAAAAGAGATGCGGCAACAACAGCAGATTTCAAAGCCAGAGCATAATCTTGCAGAGCACTCTGGGCACCACATACTGAAATTATGGCGGAAACATATCGCCAGCCTGCTGAATTACAATAAAATCATAACACCAGCAGACAGTAAACCCGATTCACCAATCGGATACGATTGAGCAGAGGTTTCATTGCCCAACCATGAAGATGTTCGAACAGCAATTACGAGGCGAGAATTTAGAGGCGAGAACCAATGGACTGCCAGCCTAGCTGGAAATGAGAAGTCCTCTCTCAACGAACAAAGACCAAACTCCACAAGTCGCTCATCGTGCTGTTTGGTTTCGGAGGCATAGACATCATGTCGAGTATCGCAATCGTTAGAACCATAAAATGTACGAGATATACGACGCCATTGACATAGTTTATCGACGGCTTCGCAGAGATGCAAAAAGTTACAATGAATCTCTTCCACTTATTTCGATCTCATGATAACCTTTTGTATTGACTACAACTTTTTTGTACTTTAGGCGTTTCGATGTCCAAGCTCGTTCTCCTGGTTGGGGCGGGCAGGAATTTTTGCCAACTACTATCATCTGGCTATCGTCTCAGAACACGTCCGATCCAGCACCATTTTCTTTTGAGAATTTCAATTCAGAGGAACTGTTTGATTTGTGCGTGACCTCAAGTCTGTGTTAGAGACGATGACGAACCGAAAAATGGGACGAATATTGCGAAGGCATCGGTTTGTAAAAAAATGTATCTCTTTTATGCAATATGCAACGATATTTCCTGTTTGTAGCCTTATAAGTGTGGACTTATGTTTCGAGTGGAATAGTTTTTGGTACGACATGTAATGATCGAGGAGATCCAGACAGTGTTAAGGGCGCTTCTTGCCTTTTTACTATTATAGTTCATTAACTGCGTATGATTTTGAATCGATCAGAAATATGTTTTAATTTATTTTTTACATGAGAGAGAGAGAGATAGAGAAATATTGATGAATCGATGGTAGGAGAGAAAGAGATTAGTAGGGAAAAGTGAGTATAAACAGAGAGACAAACATAGAGGCAAAGAGATAGAGATTAAAAAAGGTGAATATAAAGAGGAGTAAGAGAAGGATAATAGAAACGAAAACACTTAATACACTGATAAAAACATTTTCTGAACCAAAACATAATTTTTAAAAATGTATATATCATAATATCATAATTCTGCTAAACAAATACAAATAAATGTGAGTTTACGCTGCAGTTTTTCTCTCTATCAACTTTTTCATAACACTTAAATAAACTACACATATGTATTTACATATATTTTTTCATACACATACAGCCATATTAAATTCACATTCATTACAACAAAAATTACTTTCATTTGCCACGAAATTCAATTTATTTCAGCTAACCGCCAACAGACATATTTATTTTCAGCGCTGACACTTTTGGAATACCACCAATAAATATTGTAATGGTTTTCAAAGCGATTAAAATGCAACAACTCTGCATTATGAACACGTTTCATGCAACAAACAATTAATAACCGCACAGCGACACTGAGATGCCCGCAAAATGCCTGCCATGCACCTGCCACCAAGCCACGCACAAACACACGTGGCACACACACACACCAAAGCGCTTAAGCCGCACACACAACAACAGCACTGTGTGATTAAGCTGTCCAATGGGAGAGCGAGAGCCAACGAGCGAAAAGTGGCCATTGTTTCGTAATAATTGCAGACGAATCAGTGCAACATTAAGAGCGAATGTGAAATATTCATTGTCGCCGCAGAGGAGTATGAAAGGGTGTGTGAGTGTGCCTGCGGCAGAGGACACCGATGGTTGCCCAAGCGCCACAACCGTGCAGAAGTCTAAAAGCACCCACTTAGTGCTCCATTTCGCGTGCGCTGCAGGCAACCACACATATTTACACACGCACACACACACAAGTGAGTGGTGTG